GGAACCCATGAATCTTGACAATTTGTCTCACATACAGTCCACTCAATCTCTCTGCACTGTCTATCACTACTATAGGCAAAAAGTGAGCCGTTTTAGTCAACCTGTCAACTATGACCCAAATGGCGTCATTCCCTACCGAGACCTCGGAAGTCCCGTTACGAAATCCATAGTGATATGCTCCTATTTCCACTCAGCTACTGGTAATGGTTGCAACAATCCTACTAGTCGTTGATGCTCTGCCTTCACTTGTTAACAAGTATGACATCAAGCCACAAACTGTGAAACATCCCGTTTCATGCCCCGCCACCAAAACTATTGCCGCAGATTGTAATACATCTTCGTACCACCATAATGAATTGCGAGCCGAGAGTGGTGAAAGTCCCGAAGAATGTTTTCACGACAAGATAAAGGAACAAACATCATCCCCTTTTACCTAAGACCACCGTCTAAATGTAAGGTCCAGCCCTCTACACTCTCGCCACTTAAAATTCAAACATGGATGGCCTTCATCTCCCTATCTTCCAACTGTGCCTCAATAACTCTACTAACAAGAGCCGATTGAGCCACAAGGATAAATAAAATAGTTGGTGAAACATCCTCATAAGACTATAAACCAAGATCTGCAAGCTCTCCTAGCATCTTCCATATATGAACGAAAACGCTAGTAAGAGTTCCCCGTGACTTCCTACTCAATGCATCAGCCTCTATGTTGGCCTTACCCGGATGGTACTGTAACTCAAAGTCACAGTCCTCCATGAACTCGACCCATTTATACTATCTCAAGTTCAAATCCTTCTGAGAGAAGAGATACTTGAGACTCTTATGATCGGAGAAAACCTCAAACTTCTCCCTGTACAAATAGTGTCTCCACCCCTTCAGGGCAAAGATAACTGCTGCTAACTCTAAATCATGCGTTAGATATTTCAACTCATGAGTCTTTAATTATCGAGACCCATAAGCAACCACCTGCTCTGTCTACATCAAGACGCAACCCATACCTTCCTGCGAAGCATCACAAAAGATCACATAACCTAAACCACGTTCAGGAATGATCAAAACTAGAGCCAATGTTAACCTGACCTTCAACTCCTGAAAAGCAAACTCATATGCCTTGTTCCATACAAACTTGACCCCCTTGCGAGTAAGTCAAGTCATTGGTGCTGCTAGACGAGAGAAATCCTAAACAAATCTCCGGTAGTAGTTGACTAGGCCAAGGAAACTCCGAATCTCAAACACTGTCTTCGGACACTCCCAATCCATCACTGACTCAATCTTCAACGGATCCATTGTAACACCCCCCCTTGACACAACATATCCAAGGAACTTCACTTCTAGTAGCCAAAATTCATATTTCTCGAACTTATCGTACAACTGATTATCCCTAAAGATTTATAATACTATCCTCAAATGATACTCATGTTATTTCATCAAAGCTGAGTATACGAGAATGTTATCAACAAAAACCACAACAAACTGATCAAGATGGTCACTGAATATACGGTTCATCAAGTCCATGAAAGCTGCTGGAGCATTGGTCATGGCATCACTAGAAACTTGTAATGGCCATACCGTATACGGAAAATGGTCTTGGATATATCCTCACCCTTAACCATTAACTGATAGTAACCCGATCTCAAATCAATCTTCAAAAAACAAGTGGCTCCCTTCAACTGATCAAACAAGTCATCAATCCTAGGCAAAGGATACCTGTTCTTGATCGTAGCGTGGTTCAGCTTGTAATAATCGATGCAAAGTCTTAAAGACCCATCCTTCTTCTTCACAAAAAAAACCGGTGCTTCCCAGGGCGAAGCACTATGACGAATAAAGCCCTTAGTTTTCAAATCATCCAATTCAGCTTTCAACTCATCAAGCTCTGCCGGTGCCATACGATACGGTGCCATAGAGATATGTGCAGTGCCGGGAATGACATCAATGGCAAAAATAACTTCCCGAAGAGGAGGAAGCTCTGTTAACTCCTCTAGAAAGACATCCTGAAAATCGTCTACAACTATCGAAAAAATACGGCCCAAGCTACTGTCCTCCTCAACCAGTAGGCTAGCCAAGTACGACCTGTGGCGACTCCAGTCACCAATACTAAAAACAATCACCGGGTAGGAATTGCTCTGATCTCCCACGAAATGAAAACAATTTCCTTCGGGAGTACAAACAGTCACCCTCACATGGAAGTAATCGATCGTAACATGAAAGAAGGATAACCAATCCATCCCGAGAATGACGTCAAAGCCCGTCATGTCAAAAATAACAAAATCTAACTCTAAGGTCCGCCCAGCTATCTCGATAGCACAACCCCGACAAACACGGTCTAAAAACACTAGACCCCTACTGGTGTGTCAACATAAAGGAAACCATCCTGCAGTGTGACTTCCAGCCCCAAGGAATGTACAAATAATGCAGATATGAATGAATGCGACACACCCGTGTCAACAAGAACTCTAGCCCACGAACTAAAAACTGGAAAGATACCTCAAACCGTAGAAATCCCTGCAGAGGTATCGGCCTATGGCAATGCGTAGACTCGTCCCTGAGCCCCTGACTGCTGAGAAATGCCCTGGTGACCTGACTGATGTTCGGAAGCAGTAGGCGTAGAGCCTCAACCGGATATGAACCAACTGGTGGCACCACTAACTGCGATGCCTGAGGCACCCTGAAACCTGACTGCACAACTGCTGATTGTGCTAGTGTGGCCTGTGAACTTATGCCACTTTGTGTCCCGCCTTACAATTTCGGACACTCTCCTGAAGTGACCTGGTTGCTTGCAATAATGACAAGCTCTGCGAACCCCCTTCATCAAAGCTGTAAGCTTGCTAGCCTGAGACTGACTGGCGTATGGCTAAAGCTATGGACAGCGAGGCTTGACATGCCCCGGGCTAACCCCGAAGATACTAGAACTGTAGGTACAGACCGAGCCTGTTGTGACTATCCTTGAGTACGTGAACTGTCCTCGGTCTTAGTCTTCTTCCATTGACTCCTAACAGATACTGATGAAGTCTCTCCACGAGACTGCTTATATGAACCCTTGATCCTGAGCTGATCTCGGTCCTCTGCCTCAACCAACAAAGCACTACCTCCCCATAGATCCTTAAATCCAATACTGAAATCTTTGGCCTAATATCAACATGTAACCCATCCTGAAACTTCCTCGCCTTGAGCTCATCGGTAGCAACCATTTCCGGTGCATAGCGGGAAAGAGAAGTGAAGCGTGTCTCATACTCAGTGACACTCATCCTACCCTAATAGAGACCTGTGAACTGCAATCTCATGTCCTGCCTCATAGCCCTCAGAAAAAATGGTTGAAGAACAATGTCCTGAACTCATCCCATGTCATCACCTCCACATTGTGGATATTGGTTATGGACCTCCACCAGATATCTGCATCCCCCATAAACATAGAGGAGTCAAAGAGATCCTCAATCAATCCGTAGGTACTGCCATGCTATTAAGCTTGCGTACCATGAGATCAAGCCATGCCTCAGAAGCAAGCAGATCTATACTCCCTGCAAATTGGTTGATCTTAACCCTCTGTAACTTCATGAAGTAGTCCAATGCCTCATTAGCAACTGGTGTCGGTGCTGGTACTGGTATAAGAATCTGCATCCCTGCCATATACTGATGAAACATTTGCTGAATGGACTCTGACATCCCTAGAGCCACTCTCTGTGTAATCTTCTCCTCATAATTCGGCGCTCATTGTGGATTAGGATCAACGCCACGAGGTCGAGCCCTGGGCCTCCCTGGACCTCGTGCGAGCTTGGTGTCTACAACCTGCTCATCCACTCGACGTGACAAGAAGACTCTCCGCAAGTCAAAACCATGACACTACACATATAAGGAACAAGGTCAATAACAATGCAAGTCGTTAAGACCTAAGGTAACTCACGTCGTGAATGCACGAAACAAGTAGCACTTAATAAAAGCACAAAATGCATGCAACATACAGTCATGCTAAAATATACAAGCATATATAACATGTTAATGCCAGACAAGCACAAACACATGCTAAGGCCTACAAGCATATACAACATGTTACAACAATTAAGGTAAATTCCTAAACATACTGCCACGTAAGCATATAAACATGTTATTAAATCGAAACATGTTATCAAGGAACACATAAACATATCAAAGCAAGTCAACAAAAACATGATATGCACCTAAAACCCATCGTCCTAAGGTTTTCAAACCTAGTAGCTCTGATATAACCTGTGGAGGCCCTAGTTTTTCAAGCCAGTACATCCTGTGATGAACTGAAGATTGACCTGATAACGGATCCAGATGCGGAAGTAAGAAATAAAACAACGGTCTCCCAAGGCACAACACACCTCTAAGACACTTTAATGACCTTCCATGCGGTCGTGGAACTCAATGAGAACTAACACGGAAGCAAAAGATCAGAAATATGAAAAATAAGCCCCATGGGGCAAAATAGTCATTTTACAAAAATATGGATTCGGGTGCTACCGAGCACACCGCTACAAAAACAATGAAAAACTAATCATGATGGACTCAAGAATCGCATGATTCGAAGTTCGGACGAAGGAGAAAGGTCAAAAACAAAAACAATGTTGCGACGGCCTGACGAGGGTCATGACAACTAGAGTGCTGCCGACCAACTGCTACTGCAACTAAAAGGAAAAACGGGCTTCTAAACGGACTTTTGTTGAAAAACTCAAAGAAGAAACCCCCCCTAAAATTAAGTTTTCTACCCGGAAACATGAACGGAAACAAAAGAATACATTATGAAATACCCAGAATGCCCCCAAGAAAATCAGGTCAAGAGGGTAAAAATCCTTCCGAGCTGTTGCCAAAGGAAAGGAAATGGGGCTTTAGGAGGTTTTTAAATTGTCTAAATTGAAAATGCAATCTTAAAATACACCCACAAGACCCCCGAAAGTTTTGGATCGGTCGACACGTTTTTTTAAAAAATGTCGATGAATAGTACCAAGTACTAAAATTTCAAGTTTTAAAACATATTTGTAAACTTTAGAATTAATGGCATTGGCCTCATGTCATATATACCAAATAAGCATCCAAAAAGTGTACTTAGATACACATTACATATTTCTAGGCAAAAATAACATTTTATAACTAAAAGATGCTACATGCTAACACTTGCATGTTTTCCAAAATATATCAAAATACTTCAAGGTATCAAGGTAACTTAAGAATGTGATGCATCCCAAAACAAAGCTTTTTTACCTGCAAAATAGCCCAAACAACTAGGGTAAGTAATCAAGTTACTCGTAGGATGTGGTGCATACGCATACTCTATAGTTTTAAGTATAATGTGGACCAAACATAGACCATCACAAGGGTGCATTCCACCTAACGTCTATGTTTCCATAGTACTCTAAGGGATCATCTCAAGCTATACAAATGTTTGAAATGATAAACACATAGCATCCAAGTATACATAAACAAGTACACTAACCGCATTTAAACTAAGATTACTAAATCACAAGCTATAAGAAATCCATGATTTACAACTTGGAAGGTAATGCGAAATCAAATAATGGAAAGACTAGGATATGTAGCCACGAGACCATACAAGTTATTTTGGGTAACTATGACCCACAAGGTACAACCTAGTGCGCACTATGACTTAGGAGAATTCTTACCCTCCGTACTAGAGCCAAACCCTAGCCATCAAACATTTCATATCCTTACAGGCTTCCAAAAATCAACAAATTCATGACATTTATATAATCTCAATGCATGAAACTACCTACCAAGCACAAGTAGGGAGAAACTACACAAACCATGCCCTAAGGTTGCATGTCTAAAGTGGCAAGCTAATGACACTACACATTATGCTATATGAATTTAATATTAATGTAGGCCACAATTACTAACCATGCAATATAGTAATGTTCCTACAAGTAATTAAGAGTGCTACATATAAGATTTTCATACTAGACTTTTAATGAAATTTCCATTACTTAACACATAAGTGCAATTCCAAGATATTCATAATAAACCCTTAATTAAATCACAAGTATTAGACAAATCATTAAACAATAACCTACCTATACAATTTAATAGTCATATACATGCTTTAATTCACAAATCATAAGTCAAGCATATAAAATCTCTATTTACATGCAAGTACAAGAATTTAAAAGGTATGTAATCAATATATATTAAGCTCCAATATATATAAAACTCAAAGAGGATAAACATACAACCACCCCTACCTCAATAGAGAATTGAATCTCTATAATCCAAAGTAACCAAGCTTAAAATGGTAAACCAATCTAGGGTTTTGTAGCGGAGAGTGAGAAGAAGCTAAAGTACTCCAAGCTTCAGGTTCTAAGGTGAGTGGAAGGAGGCCAAAATGAAGTTTAAAGCTCTAAACTAAGCTTTGCTTCAATGGTGGCTAGGTTAGGGTTTAAGAGGAAAGAGATAAAATGAAATAAAAACACAAACCCTAAACTAAATGTGGTGGGATTCTCCACTTACTATGTTCTCTTGCGCTATCCCTCACACATACACTTGTCAGACTAAGTATAGTGCCTACACTTGTCACCATCCTAAGTAAACTTCCAAGACTTAATATTAAGTCTACACTTGTCAACCATCCATGCCAACAAGTGCTCCTATCCTAGGCTAACAAATGGGTGAATCTCCACCCTCCATGTGTCAAGAGATTAAACCTCCAAGTGGTTCCACCACAATGTCAACAAGTGGCTCAATGAGTGTATGACACTTGTCACATTTTTCAAAAATTGTAAAAAGGTCCTTTTTGAAAATATATTCCAAATAAAATTGTAAAATGATTCCTAAGACAAAAAATAATTACTTTACATAATAACACTAAAACCCTAAAAGTCAAGAATATTACCAAAAAGTTATGCATCCATGCCCTTTACAAGAAAAGTAAACATCTAGCATGCTTTTCTACAAAAGTAAAAATGTAGATATCATAGAAATTAAATATAATGGATGTATGAAAAGCCATAATCAAATCCGAGCACAAAAAGTGAGGTTATGCAAAGTAAAATGATAAACGAGAAAAAGGCGAAAAAGGGAAATTACCAAAAAAAAAAAAAAAAAAAAAAGAAATGAAGGAAAATGACCGGGTCATTACAGATATCCTTATCAAAGATAGATGAACAATAAGAGATATATGGCTATGGATATATATATATATATATATATATATATATATATATATATATATATATATATATATGATGCATGATATGTACAAGGAAAGTATGTATATTCACAGGAAAAACTGATTTATACATTAAACTGTGGATCCAAGCTTGGGTTTTCAGATACGCGACAGCTACTGAGAAAATTTAAAGGTTCAGTTAGAGAGAAAATAAGGTCAAGTATAACATGCAAATTACATACTATATTTTACTTGTGAAAATCAGACTAGTGAAGAAAAAACATTGGCTTCCCAGAAGTAGACATCAGTGTGATAGAGGGAAGTGAAGAGGATCCTCAAACTAACTTCCATTTTCTGGGGGGGTGCAACCTCCACTTCTTCAATCACTAGTGGCTTCCCAACTTCCCATGCCACCGCAGCTACAAAACATAAAACACATTTAGTCACACAAAAACACTAATAAATCAATCTATATATAACAATTTTTCATGAAAAAAAAAAAAAAAAAAAAAAGATTAACAAACACAAGAGAAATTAAATGAAAATACAACGAGTAAAAATTAAAACTCTCATTAAAAGAAGGGAAAAAAATCATAAAAACAAGTTGGGACCATCAACCAACAAATCCTAAGTACCAAATTAACCACTGTCTCTATTAGAAGTATAGGGTGAATCCCATACCATACCTATTTGAGTATCAACTTGATAAATATAATAGTGGATGAAAGTACAAACCTCAATTCGTGTCCTTCGAATGTAGGGCATCGAATAAGAGAGGGAGCTAGGGTTAGGGCTTGGAGAAAGGGGCGTATCTTCTCTGTTCTAACGCTGCACTGACCGTCGATTCAACCCTCAGTGGCTTCGGTAGAATGGTTGGGCTTGGAAAGAAAGAGGAATAACGGCTTAGACGGCCTGAGAGAAAGGGGGTGGCCAGCTTTATTTTCATCTCCTTACTCTACTTTCTTATCTTCTTCCTTCTCCGGCAACTTCTCCTCGGCAGCAGGCGGCGATGGAGCTTCCTCCTGCATTGCTGCCTCCGAATCGTGAACCAGATCGAGAAAGGGGTGGTCGGCTTTTGACATCTATGTTTGTGTTCTTTTGGTGGGCGAATGAAAATGTCTTGGTGGGAAACTTTTATTACTTATTTACGGGACAAAAAATGCACCTTGGATGTAAAATTCATTCTTTACTCTATATATTTTTTACGTAATGTTATCAATTTGGCGGGGGAGTGAAAATAAACTTTTATTGCTTATTTACTGGGCAAAAAAGGTGCCTTAGATGTGAAATTTATCCATAAGCTCTTTAATACACCGTAAAGGAACTTAAGTTCAATTTTTTCATTATTTCCTGGCGGGGGAGTGAAAATTACTTGGTGGTAAACTTTTATTGTTTATTTACGGGGCAAAAAAGGCGCCTTAGATGTGAAACTTATCCATGAGCTCTTTAATATACAGTAAAAGAACTTAAATTCATTTTTTCATTATTTCCTATGCATATTTTTTATGTAATTTTATTAATTCTGCCTATTCAATTGGGCGGGCAAGTTTTATTGCTTATTTATGGGGGAAAAAAAAAAAACCTTAAATGTGAAATTTTAGTGCTTTTATCAACGAGGAACATTTATCCCGTTAAGGATGTACAAATATGCCGTAAATATATCTAAATATTCACGGGCTCTTTAATACGCCGTAAAAATATTTTTCTATGACGATTCTATAAAATTCTCGTGAAAGCATGTCCTATAACGTAACAATTACGAGGATTCTTTTAAAAACTTCGTAAATGGTGGTAATCATGAGGCAAAATAAAGAAACCCCGTAAATACTATGTCGTAAAAGCCTACTTTTCTTGTAGTGTTTCATTTCACTTTCTATCAAAATTCGTAATTCTATCCAAATCTAATTTTTTTTCCTCCTTTCCTTCTTCCACGTTTCTATTGAATATATATTTAACTAATAGTTAAGCTAAAATAATTAACTAATAATTGTGAAAATTAATTTTTAAAAATAATTGTGAAAATTAATTTTTAAATAATTTAAAAATAATACAATAGTGCAAAAAAAAAAAAAAATCTTATGCACTTAGATTTGTGTTGCCCTACTCTCAAATAGTTTCATTTAAATAATATTATTAATATATTAAGATATCACTTTTATAATTTTTGCCTAAGGCCTCAAATATATTGAGCCACCCCTTAATTCCACCTTCAGTATGGCGCCATATGACATCTCCGGAATATCGCTCGAATAAACATAATGCATTCAAAATCTTTCCTGGTGTGCCATCCTGCCCAGTGAAGTACCCATCCATGAAAACTACATTTTCTAGCAGTCCCTCCTCAATGGCTAGAGTGACACTGCACAGAGACCGAATCCAAATTCACCAACATCAAACAATGTCTTCTAAATTGTGGGTGTTCGGCTAGCAGAAAAGCGCTAGTTCCGCTTTCCAGGTGAGTGGAAAGTAGGAGTGGATGTCGAGCGTGCCAGGAACTGCTGTCGTTCCAAAGTGAGTATCTGAACAATTATCCAGTAGGAAATTGTCGGGATCAGGCGATCGAATGAAGGATTGGAATTACCACCTTCAAGGGTTCTTTTTGCCTTGAAAAAGGACTTTCGGACTGAACAATGGCTAGTGGAAAAGAAAGCGGTATTGAAAGTGCAGGACTTAAAAGTAAAGTGCTGGAAAGTAGGAATAATAAGTGCAGGACTTGAATTAAACAAATTGAATGTAAAGATACATGAATGTAAAGATATTGAAGTGCTGTTTTGCTGTGTGATTTGAACGGGGTTTGCAAGTGAAGCCTAAGTGTTCTATTTATAGAGCTTTCCATGCATGCATTAACTAGGTGTGGCAACTTCAACAGCTTCCACGTGGAATGGTTCCGGACTGCCACATGTCCAATGATTCCTCAACGGTTGTAACTTCTTCCATCTTATCCATCTTCTGTTGTAGACTTCAACCACGTCCTCTCTAGTCTTCAACGAATTTGTGTCATGGGTAGTTTCAGAATGAATTCCCACGTGCTCTCTTCATGACTTGGCAAGTGTCCCATGATTTTATTCTTCTTCCTCACGTCAACAACTCCTTTCCTTAACTTCAGACACGATTTCATCAACTACTACCCTGTCACCCATGACCCTTGATAACTTCCCTTAGTTAGTGGTAGTTTCCTTATAGGTTTCCACCACTTTCAACCGATATATTCCTATTTAGCCAAGTGTCCCATGACTCCTAGTAGTCTTTCACTTCTGCTAGAACCTTCCTTTCATCGCGTCGTGGTTTCTGACTTCTGATAAAACTCCTCATTGTGCATAACTTCCATCTTGAGACTTTCCTTCTGAAGTTTGGAGTTCATGGTGCCATGACCTCTTTAATTTTAGCAATGCCTCCATCATGGGTAGTTTCCCAGAGTATATTTATACACATCTATATTTCTCCAACTTACCTCCCTTTCTTCTGTAGACCACGGTTTCGTTGATTTTAGGCTGAACCTTCTATATTATTTTCATGGCATCATGGTCACCGAGTTTACATCGTGGGTTATGGTTATTGCTCACTTCCTTAATTTTAGCAACTTCTCTTCAACCTTGACTTCCTATGGATTTAGACCTCATGGCTTCATGGACTCCCTTTTCACGGTGATTCCTTCATCGTGGGTTTAAGCCTAATATATATATATATATAAAGAAATAAATTAAATCCCACGTCTTGCTAAATTTTAGCAACAAAAGTTGACTTGGCTGAACCATTGTTGAAATCTCCTAAAAATAAGGAGAAAGTTGCCTCCACGTCCCCATGACTTAGTCAACTTTTATTTAAATAGAAAATACCCATCTAATTGGTATCCTACTAAAATAGGATCTTCCAAATAAATTCAACTTTAACAAAATTAATCCATCGTGACAAGTTTAATAAAGCTCGCCATGTGTCGATAAATTATTGGTTGGCTAACTTTAGCCTTTTTATAAGATTGTACTCATGATAATAACTCCACGCCATTTTCTTTTCCTTTTAGGACATTATATCCTAAATTTGGTAAGTCCTAAAGGGACTCGCCACTTGTCTTTTAATTTCCCATAATTTAAATATTCCAAGGTGGAATATTTATTAATATTGTAGTCTAACATGGCAAGTTCCATTGGAACTTGCCACGTACCTCTTTTCTATTTTTAAGGAACCACATTAACAATTCCATGTCACACCCTCTTTTCCTTAGACAATTAGAACATTAAATCAATATGGTAAGCTTTGTCAAAACTCGCCACTTGTCTCTTTTCCATTGGGTAAAATAATGGAATAAACATATGCCCCCCAAATTCTATGCCTTATAGAACAACTTGAAAATAAGGCGTTGGATTTGATTTCCACCATCTGAATACCATCATGGTCGCTTGATTTTCCAACCCTAACCCCAACTAATTTCTCGACTTCCATCATATTAATTTCCTTTAATCACCAATCTCCTAGATGCCGTGTGCCCCTAAAAGACCTATTCGCTGCTTCCCATGAAAATCTCTTTACTTTCCTTCTTTGAATTTCAAAGTTCCAACTGAAACCCTTCCAATAGTACCCTTAGGTTTTTAGACACTCAAGATAATCATTAAAAGGAAACACGTGGCTGCTCCCCCTGTATTTTCTGAGAATATCCTCTCCAATCACTGATTTTCGTCTCTTCAAGGAGATCCTAACCATTTATGGCATAGAGCCTTCAACCTTCTCAATCCTCATTATTTCCTTTTCTTTTGAAAGTCCTCCTCTAACTACCCCTCCTTAAAAGGCGTCCTTGGACTTTGAAAGATTTCACCGTAAACGAATAAAATCTTCCACGTGTTATTTGGCTGGTCTTTTAATTCTACCCATGTTAATCTTTCCAGCCACCAAACACATTCCATCTCCCAATAAACCTCTCATCCATTTATGGCATTACACCATCCGGCTTCCAAAACCTTTTAAGACTTCCTTTTGAATTTTGAAAACCCAACCACCTATCCTAGGAAAACGTCCTCAGCCTTTACTTCTTTCCCTATCGTTTCTATATATATATTCCCTCCATCCTTATCATTTGCCACCAACTCTCCTTCTATCATCTTTCCTCCTTCTGAAACCCTAAAGGACATCTCTATCCACGAAAAAAAATTATAAACCATGGCTCCCAAGAAACCTTCCAAACCAACTACTAGCTCATCCCTGCCAGCTCCTTCTATTCAAACCAAAACCAAAATTCGAAGCCATAGTCACCAAGTTCAAGTACTCTTGAAGTCTCTAAACCCTGCTAGGCTTCATCTTAAAACTCAGATTCACTTCAAAGACGACTCAGTTAGATTGGGTCCAGCCTTTGCCAATGTGGCCCCTTCTGAATTAGCCAAATTCTACCCTTCTAGTAAGTCTCCACTTCCTTTCGATTCAGAGTTCC